CCCCCATACGCACACAGTCACGTCCGTGTGTGCAGAGGTATTCACACTTGTGCCGGATGCATCGGCCACCTGTGCGCACGTGTGCACCACTAGAGGGCGCCTTAAGGTATCGCAGCAAAAGTGCAAAACCCAACCCTCGCCCTCCTGCCCCAGCTTGGGGGTGCTGGTGTAGCAGGACTGGCTAGAGGGGTACCCCACACATCCTCCTTGCTTGGGCAGTGCCAGCTGAAGCTCAATATCGAGGACCCCACTGTCGCCGCCATTAGCCCCCCGAAGGGTGTCCTTGGGTCTGTCCCCAGTTTGCCCTGAGGGGGGTGCAGATAAGCAGGAAGCCGTCTCCTCCACGATTTCCCTTCAAAGATGCCCCAGAAGCAGAGGGACTGAAACAGGCAGCTCAAAGGCCCGGGGTGTTCAGGAATCCCTGCGGAGTCAGGGTGGGTACCCCTGGGGGGAGGGGCTCCATTCATTTGTGGCTTTCATCCATAGGTAGTTTGACCCCCATCTTGTCCCTGCCAGCCGGTCTTCAACAGTCAAGGAGCCAGAGCTCCTGTGTCCCAAGCGAGGGTCACGAGGGAAGGCCACGGGCAGGACTTGGTTTGGAGGAGAACTGAGGAACTGCCCGGCCCCCACCTGCCTGTCACTGCAGTGGGCGGGGCGTCAGAGGACATCAGGGGGGAAACAACTGTAAACTTACTACTCGGCCCTGGCATTGGGTAAGGAGTGGGGTGGGTTTGACAGGGCCTTGAGGAATTCTCTAGAAGCTGAGGTTCATACATGAGACCTGCCTTGTCCTACCTCCTTATGCGCATCACAGGCAGAGCCCCTGACCCTCCAGGCACTGGGCCACCTCTGGCCTTCTCTACTTGGGAGAGTCCTCCCAGGAAAAGACAGCCCAGCCTGGGACCTCCAGGCCACCCCAGGGGGCACCTAAACCCTGAGTCAGCCCCACAGTCACCCTTCTGGAAAGGGGGAAGGTGCCATTTTATTTCAGGGACTATTTTGTAGACCCTCGAATGCATGCATCCTGGCGAGGACAGCAGGATGGTCATTTTAGAATTAAAGACAATCTGGGACATGTGGTCGCCGCACCCATAACCTCGGCGTGGGCACGGAACAGGCAGCTTTGGTTTGAATCAGCACTCACACTTCTCTCCAAGCTCAGCAGGGCCGAGGGGAGGGAGCAGCAAGGATGCCGGCCCTACCTGGCTTGGGGACGTCCGTGTTCAGTGAGAAGACCCCAGGTGTGGTCATCCCAGGGGCTGGCCATGCCTCAGTTCCTCCAGTCCCCCCCACAGATTTCAAAACATCCCCACAACTGCCCTGGCCCCAGCACCCCCAGAGTTACATTCATCAGTTAAGATTCAGTTTTGTTTTGTGTTTTAAAGTAGATGTCAGCCCCCTCTCCCCAAGTCCCAGAAAGCTAAAACCCGGTCCCAGCTGCCTGGCTTTGAGGAAGGGCCATGCCAGGCCATGCCCCTGGGGGCATTGCTCTAGCCCTCCCTTGCCACCTGAGCTGTGGCAATCTGATGATGGAAGCTACATTCACACAGGGAGAGGTGGTGTGCAAGGCCAAAGCCACATGAGGTGGGGTGGGGGACCACGAGGGCAATGGCCCTGAATGGTCCACCCTGATGGTGTGAAGGGCAGGGCCACAGCCCCCCACCCACACCCCCGTGGGGCCAGGAGTTGGAAGGCTTGGGCCCGGAAGACATTGCATGGTGCCTCCCTCCATGGCTGAGAGGAGGCAGCCTCCTAGCTCATGGCTGAGATGTGGGCGCCAGGCTCGGAGGGAGGGTGGCACTTAGGCACCTCCGGACCTGGAAGGCAGACGGGGCATGGGGGCATCATATGAGGGGGGGCCCAGAGACAGACCCCTCCCCTCACCCCAAGCCGGGCCCTGGGGCAGCAAGTCAAAGGCTGGCCAGGGAGGGGAGCTGGCAGGAGGTCAGACAGCGGTGACATGAAAGACAAAACAGATGGGAGGCAGAGGGAGGCTCCCTTCCAGGGATGGGGGCTGCGGAGAGCGGGGGTGGGGGAGGGATGGGGGCACAGCTCCAGCGTCTCCCTGGCCAGGGGTGGTGTGGCCATAGGAAGAGCAGGAGCAAATGGACCTGAGGGGATGTTTGGGCAAGAGGAAGTGGCAAGGGCAGGCTAAGGACTTTCCTCTCCCACCCCTGCAGGGACAGCAGTGACGGTGGGGGTGGGGGAAGCAGCCCTGAGCTCCCATCAACAGAATGCGAGGTGACAAATGAGATGGAGACAGGGACAGCGGAGGGATGACGTGGCCAGCATCACACTGCCCCCTGCTGGGTCGGGTCATACCTTCCTCGTCGGATGTTTCTTCAGGAGACAAGCAGAGGACAGGCAGAGAGAGGAAGGAGAAGAGGCCATTTGCGACCTCCTCCTCTCAGCGAGGGGCCTTCAGTTCTCATGAGACCCCCTGCCCCTGAGACAGGCCAGGGCCCTGGGGCCTGGACACTAAGGACAGGCCCAGGGAGCGATACTGGGTTTGAGTCTTGATTCTACAACTCACTCACTGGGTGACCCTGGGCCCCAGGCCCCCCCTTAGCTAACACTGAGGGTGTCAGACCAGCTCCAGGGCCCCGACTCAGGTGCCCACCGTCGGCTGGATGGGGCCTGGAGCGGGAGGACACGGCCCCGTCTGGGCAGCGCTGCTCAGCTACTCTGTGGCTGGATCACACTGAGGCTCAGTGCGGCCCAATTGTCTCATTTTTCAAGGGAAGCTGGAAATCACGTTGTTACTGTCAAATCTCTGGGTTTTGTAAATGTGAGCAACTAATGTGTGACCATGATGTGTGAGCTCTGACTTAGCTAATCGCTCAGAGGGGCCCCCTCCGCTCCAACAACAGCCTGGGGTTCTGATAACCCCCAGGACACGAGGGGATGTAGGGGGAGGCGTCTCTTACTTAAATCCCCAGCCTGTGCCGCCCAGGACGATGGCTGCAACCAGGACAGCCCCGGCGATGGAGCCAATGATGATGTTGGTGCCGCTGGGACCTGAGGAGGAGGGCGGGGCTCGGTTGGCAGGGACAGGCATGGCAAACAGAGAAGACAGAGCCCCCCCTCGGCCAGTGCCAGCCTCACCCTTATATTTCTCCGTCTCCCCCGTGGGCGGAGATGTCGGCAGGGGGTTGTGAATACTGCAGTCTTTGCCCGTCCAATCTGGCTGGCAGATGCACTTCCCTTCGTTGCTGCAGACCTGCGGGGGGGGGGGGGCGCAGTCACGGTCAGCAGGGCCCTGTGCCCTCTGGTAAGGCTCTCCTGCCATCCCAGGCCCCCAGGCACCCACCCCGTGGTGGGAGCAGATGCGGCGCTCCCCACTGCCCGGGCAGGTGCTGAAGTTGAAAGCAGAGGCGGGCAGGCAGCGATGATCGAGGCACAGCATGTTGGGCCCACAGGCTGTGCCGTCCTCCACGTAGCTCAGGTCTGAGCCATCGGCCAGCTGCACATGGCCACCCCTGGGGAAACAGCACAGCCAGCCTCCGCACATGCCCCCACCCCGTCACAGCTGCAGCCGCCCTTCCCCAGCCAGGGTCCCAGCCAGCACCTGCAGTCCAGCTCCTTGCCCTGGTGGTAGAAGGTGACACTGCTGATGTCTCCTCCCAGGTCCCCCAGCCGAGGAGCTCCGGAGATATTGACGCAGAGGAGGAAGCCACAGAGCACGTCCCTGGTGGGTGGAGCGGAGACAGTGAGTCCCGTCTGACCTCTGATCCAACTTGAATCTGCCTTCTCCCCACACCCTGATTTTTTACGTATTCTCCCATCGGGACTCACAGGCATATCCTAGAACAGTGATGGCAAACCTTTTGAGCTCGGCGTGTCAGCATTTGGAAAAACCCTAACTTAACTCTGGTGCCGTGTCACATATAGAAATTTTTTGATATTTGCAACCATAGTAAAACAAAGACTTATGTTTTTGATATTTATTTTATACATTTAAATGCCATTTAACAAAGAAAAATCAACCAAAAAAATGAGTTCGCGTGTCAGAGGTGTCATAGGTTCGCCATCACTGTCCTAGAAGAACCTACTGTTCCATTTCTGAAAACAAACAAGCAAGCACACGAAAAAACAAAACCAAACAACCCCCGGCCCCAGAGCTGGGGAGACCCCACCAGGAGCCTTGGCAACTCACTGCTTATTGCACTGGGCCCAGCCGGACCCCTTGCGCCCACAGTTGCCACGCTCGGTCCCCTCCACGTTCAGCTTCTCATAGCAGAAGCGATCAGCAGCCACTGTAAGGTGATGCCAGGTGTCACCCCGGTCACAGAACCCACCCAGCACCTCAGGTCTGCACCTCCAACAGGATGGCTGACCCCCCAGTCTGAATGGGACCCTGAGAGCCTGGGGAGCCACACCTTTGGTGGAGGGCGTATCTTGCCAGAACCTGCCCCTCTGCAGACTCTTGATTCTGGGTCCTCCAGAGTCCCCTCTCCCACTCCTAGCCAGACCCACCGTGGCCCCACAGGGCTTGGCACTGCCGGTCCCGGGTTTTGCAGCGACCTCCGTAGCAGCGGCCCTAAGGGATTACAAGAGACCAAAGGGACTGACACGCTGCGTGGTCAGAGCGGAGACAACAAACTGTACTGAGCCCCCCACCATCATACCTGTTCATGATCACAGTAGTAACCGTCCAGTTTGTGTAGGTTGGGGGGACACTGCAGAGAGAGGGGCTGGACTGAGCAGAGCACCCCAGGACTGAGAGGCGAGGCTGGCCCCAGGGAGGAAGGAAGGGGTGGCCTAATGCCCTCCAAGTGGGGCTCATGTTCAGGGTTCTTCCATGTCAAGAACAAGGGAAGGTCTGGATTGGAACCCAGGTGGCACAGGTGGCAAGTCCCGTAGCCTCTCCCATCTCCCTGTGTCCTGCACCCACTCCCCAGGGCTCGGAGAACTAAGTGCCTGGTGCATAAGAAGGACTTGAGAGATGTTAACTAATATTACCACCCACTCCGATCCCTAGCGCACATCAGCACCGCTGCAGGCGCTGGGAACGCCAGTCAGACTACAAATACTGGTTTATAATGGGAAGAGTACAGCCAGGAGGCACGAACAACCCGTTTCTCAGATGAGGAAACTGAGGCTAATCAGCGGCGGCGACGCCAGCAATGGAACAGAGGGGTGCGGAGAACAGTCGTCGCCCCAACACGAAACGACAGGATGAGGGGATGCCTCGCCCCGGGGTTCTGCAGGGCCAGGCGGACCTGACTAGAGTCGCCAGTGCAGGTCTCCGCGATGTCGCACTCATTCACGGCCTCTCGGCAGGACACACCCCGAGGCTCGTACTAAGGAAAGAAAGGATGCGTTTCAGGGCTCAGGCAGGGATGGCCCCCCTCCCCAGGATCCTGTCCCCCCAGATCTGTAGCCCCGCCCCACTCAGAGCCGCTCCCAGGCCCGATCTCGGCTCCGCCCCCCACTCCTCGCAGCCCCGCCTTCAACAGACCGCACTCCCCGCCCTTCTCCGTCCCCATTGGCGCTTTCTTCGCGCCAAGCCCCACCCATCCAGTTTGCCAGCCTCCAGCTGCTCCTCCGCTCTAAATCCCACCCTTTATCCGATCGTCAGCAGCGGGGTCCCCCCTGGTCCCGCCCCCTTCCCCCTCACCTTGCAGCGGCGACAGCAGAGCCCGTCGCTGCACATGGCGTCGTGAGTCAGGGTGCACTTCTTGCAACAGTTCCCGCCCGCTCGGCTGCACTCCTGAGGGACGCGGGGAGAAGGGCAGGGAGCCCGGCGAGCCAGGACACTCCCCACCTAGGTCCTCCCTGGCGCCCAGCCCCGAGTTCCCCGGCTGCCAGCGAACACAGGCCGCTCACCTGTACAGAACCGCAATCGCACTCCTCCCCTGCCTCCACGAAGCCGTTTCCGCACTCAGGGGGGTCCAGCAGCTGGACGGGGCGGTGTGTCAGGAGTCGGGCTGGGACCCGCCCCGAGCCTCGCTCCCACGTTCCCCGCCCGTGGGCTGGTACCTTGAGGGGCTTGTTGAAGAGGCAGCTCCCGCCGCCCTCCTGCAGAAACTGGTTGTACTCATCGATGCTGCAGCGCGAGAACTTGCGGGGCAGGTAGAACCTGGGCGGGCATGGGAGGCCGATGCCATGGGTCCCGGCCCACGCCTTCCCTTCCAGCTCAGCCCCTTCTCAAGATTGGGGATGGGCTGCACCGGGGACTCGGTCACCCCCTCGCGGAGGCTGAGGATCTCTGTGCACGGAGGCTGCACAGAAATCCTCCCGCCTGCCGGTCCCCTGCCTGCAAGGCCTCCGAGAGTCAGAAGTTGCGGCGCCAGGCGGGAACAAGGCTTTGGCGCCGCCCAGTGGCAACAGTGGGCACTACAGCCTGGTTAGTTTTGGTGTCTTGCAGGGAATTTGGGTGTTCCTGTTCAGTGTCCCACAGAAATCTGGGTTTCTTGGACTCCTGAGTGGTCCCGACAGCTGGACCTCTTGAGGCCACCAAGTCCAGACTGTCACCCAGTGCTCTTCTGGGATCCTCCTCGTCCAAAGCCTTCCCCTGATTGGTTCCCCAAAACTCACCCAGTGTCCTCCATGATGCAGCCCAGCCAGTTGTCCGGACACTTGCAGTCCCCTAAGAGGTGAGCCAGGTGTATGTAAAGGAGGGTGGATAACCGCTCCCCCCGCACCCCGCCCCCTCGGACTCCCTTTTCACTTCTGGAACTGCTGGGCGGGGGTCTGGGGTGGTTATGGTGCCATCTGGGGTCTTCCTTGATACCTGCTGAGCTCCGGTGTTTATTCCACATCATGCCCAGGTTTTGCCCCAGCGTCTGGGCCAGGGTCACTGCCATGGCCCCCATATTGTCGTACTTGGGGTGAGAAATATGGAGCACAAAGATGTTTACATTCCTCCCAAAGGCACAGGGCTCATGGCCTCAGCCCTCCCACCCCTACCCCAGCTGTGCCCCCCAACACTGCTCACCTCATTCACACCCCCACCCCTGGACAGAGAGCAGATGCCTCCCACGTAGGCAGCCCCACTACTGGTGCTCTGGAAAGTCCTGCCCCTGCAAGGGAGAGGGTTGTCAGGAAAACCTCCTGCCCTTCCCAGAGTAGCTCCCATGGGCTGTGAGGGGCAGACAGAGAGCCTCCCCAACCAGAGCCCCTCCTGGGGGAGGCCAGTATTGCCCTCACGCCAGCCTGTGTGGTCTCAGGCAGACCCGTTCCCCTCTTTGGGTTGTTTTCCCATCAGCCAAATGAGAGGGTCTCATTAGATCATCTGTAATTACAAGGACCTTGCATCAGATTCCCGCCCTCCCCTCCCCCCGCCCCCAGGAAGGGATGCTGGGACAGTTTGAAAAGGGAAGAGCAAACGAATGGGAGGAGATGGGCAAAAGTGACCAGGGATAGGGAAAAGGGGCATCAACTTAAGATGCAGGGGAGGATGCCCAGCCTGCTGCAAGGGGCTGGGGGCAGGTACAAGATAAGACCGACTAGTCCCAGACCCCGCATGATCTCCTGGCACAGAGCAGGTGTTCAGTAGCCCCACGCACCGCAGACACCAGCAGAGGCTGGCAGGATGCATGGGGCAGGGGACTCACGAGAAGAGGTGGGTGGCATCGCTGGGCTCAGGCAGGCCTTCCCGCCGATAGACCATGAGACGGGCCAGGGTCTCCAGGAGGTCATCCTGCACCTGGATCTTGTCCCCGTCTGCCCACGTTTCCATGGCAACCAGCACTATCCGGGTATTGAGCTGTTCCTTGTACATCTGGGCCCAGATGGGAGAAGATGGGGGGAAAGCTGGAGGATGGGAGTGGGTGTGGGGGGAATAAGGCTGGAGGAGGGCTTCAGTCTGTGCTTCCAGGAAGTGGGGTTCAGTGGCTGGTAGTGCCTCGATGGCTCACCCTGAGGATATATGTGGCTGGTGGGGGGTTTGGGGTGAGAGGGAGGGGAAGGTGGGCTGCTCACCACATCGGCCAGGTTCACCACGGACTTGG